TTCAAGCATTTTTATTTCATTTCTTTTATTAATGTTTTATATTTCTGCAAAATACAGATCACTAAAAAAGGGAACCATGGGATCAGATGGATCAGTTAAACTGGGAGTAACCGCTGGTCGATACGATGCAGTAATTTGCGTTGGTGTTTTTGCACCTGGTCATGTGAAAGGGAAAGGGATGGATGACTTTATTCATTCTGTGAAACAAGGAGGCATAATATTCTTCACAATTAATGAATTTGTACTCGATGACCCTGGCTATGGATTTCATCGGAAATTAGAGGAAATAACAAAACAAGGAAAGTGGAAACCTATTTCTAAATATTTTGAGCCAAGATATGCAAACGACAAAGGTGCAATTTATTTCATTTTTCAAAAACAATGAAAAATACTTTAGCTTTTACAAATATGATACTCATTTATTGATTAAAGATTTACTTTGAAATATATCACAACGATAGTTATTGCATTTTGTGTCATAAATTTTTTTGCGTTTTTTCCTATGAGTTTGTGAGTTGATTTTCATTCGGGCACACAGTTTACTTTTGAGAATATACCATTGAGTCGCGATCGCATTTTGAGAAACTGGAAAGTGCAATGCATGATGGTAGAAATTTTTTTGCATTGTGTACTCGTACATTAATGACATCCATATTTTGATGCAGTCGGTGCTCACAAAGTATTTCCATTTCAAGGAAATTAAGAAAACTAGTCGAGTGAAACTACTAACAATTATTTAAGCAGTGTTTTAACAAAGAGTTTGTGACCGAGCTTTTTCTGAGCTAAATACTCTCTTACTAGATATTTTGATCTTGCAGGAAACTTGTGTTTTGTGATATTATTCTGTTTAGTTATGACGTTGAATTAAAATTATGCTGATATCCTCCTAATTTTTATTTTATTTTTTACTTCTTATCCACAAAATAAGTGTAATACAACACAATTTTTTATTATCTTTAGCAAACAGATCTCCCAAAAATGTGGTAAACATTTATTTTCAAAATAACGTTTGCATGAATGCATGCTGAATTGTTGAGATGTTAAAATTGGTTATATGTAAATTAGATAATGTATCATAACTCGTTTCTAATTTACATATTCGTAATTTGCATTTATCTGTGCTAATGCAACTTGCTTCACAGTGGGTGATCAGTTTTCTTAACAATTAAAAAATTGTCATAAAGAACAAGCAGAAATGTAGCGTAACATTAAAATAAAACATGACTTCAGCGTATGTAAATCAAAAACGATGAAACAATTCGTAGTAGTAAACGTGGCTTGTCTAGGTGAGTAGTAAATTTTGTCGGTTAACCCTTTTTCCATGGAAGAGGATGATCCAACCTATCTCTGTAAGCTCTGTAACCGGTTGTCCAGAGTTTCCTACTAAGGGTGGCTTGTTAGTTCTAATTCTGGCATAATCTCCAACACTAAGGATCACGTGGATATGTAGTTTTTTCCTGTTGTCATCATTGGTCAGGGTTACTTGGGACAGGTGTGGTTACTTAGCCTTAACACTTCTAAACTGTGCGTTGTCTATCGTGAAAAGTTCGCTTTTGCCAATCTTCATAAGCTTTCTATCCATGCAGAAGCAATTGACAAGAGATTTAAACACAAAATGGTACGTTTCCATTCTTGTAAGATGAGAACACATAACATCTCAACGCGTTTAGTGGATACGTCTAGAGGTTTTGTTTTATACAGAGTTCCGACCTTAGCAGAAACATATGAGCTGCCCGCTCCTCTATCGATCAGTGCTCTAGTAACAATTCCATTTACTTTGTTAATGTCACCTTTTGCATTTCACTTGTCTGTGATTTGTTGCATATCAAGGTATGGTGTCTTTTGTGGCAGGTTTCACACGATGTTTCGCTTGCAAACTTTGCAGCGTGCTGGTTCTTAAGGTCGCATTTGAAGCACAGATCTTTTTTATCAGGACTTGCTTTCTGTCAGCTATAGCTGTAATTTTCGTGCAGTCGACAGCTTTATAATCGTTACTATTGCAATATACGCACCCTCAGGGAATGTCTGTTCGGTTAATAAGATATACTCTCTCTCTTTCCTACGTTCCCTGACAAGATTATTCTTTAAGTTTTGACTGGTGTCCACTGGGATACGTCGTAGCTAAAGGCGTAATGCTTCCCTCAGTTGATCCAAATGCCTTGTTTCCTAGTAACCATTCGACCTAACCAGGTCACCCCGTATTGCTGGCAGCTTGCCAATGGTCACCATCGTAAGACCCTTTACTTCGTTTAACCTTTTGAGCAATTGCAATGATTGGACGCTATATGTCAACTTGCTAATGAAGTCAGCAACCTTTCCTGCATGTGCTTTTGAGATTTACGAAAATTTAGCTATACTTGCTTGTCCAGACATCTCGATTGATTCCGTGAACTGTCACAAAATAGCTGCCAATTCATGTAGTGTCCATCGAATTTGGATATTAGGAGCCTTGGAATTTCGCTTCCAATTATTTTGAGTGCGCATCCTTCGAGGAATTTTCTTCACTTAATTACCTTCGCTTGGCGTTTAGCATCAAGTTTCAGTTTAGCTTCGTGTAGCTTTAACTCGTATCGCAATTGCTCCTCACGCGCATTTCCCTCTTTTTCGGATTCGCTATTTTCGGATTCGCCATTCCTCTAATCGCTTTACGTCGTTATCTGCCTTCTCGATCTCGTCTTCAACACCAGTATTCCATGCTGTAACTTTGTCCTCGCTCACTTCTTGTTCGATTTTAAAGCTTCTACGTTTCGTCTCAAAGTTTCTAACGCGCTTGTTAGAGCCTTTACCGCTTCAAATTGGCGTTTCATTGCAGAATCTTTGTTGGAACTAATCACCAAATCAGTTCTCTTTCATGTCATTTGAAGTTGTTTGAATTTGACGCCGAAAGTCACTATCAGATTGCTGTCTGCCATTTCTGTCAACAACTTGGTTCGAATAAAAATTGGCAATGTGTAAAAGCACATGCCGATTTATTAAAATACAAATAACAAGTATAACAAAATCTAAATCAATTATTTTACACAATATAAACAAAAATCTTTATGAATAAAGTTTTTCTGTATAGCACAGAAAAGATGAGGTGATAAAAACGTTACCCCGGAAACAAATCTAAATAGTACATGCAAAATCGACAGAGAGAAAGGGAGGGAGGGGAGGGTGGATTTTTCGATAAATTTCACCTGGCGACGGTCACCTGCTGAATGATATGTGAATTGTTTGTGCATTACCTATGGCTAACTACGGTGGCCCGTATCTGCAATTCACAAATTAATTTGTCAATGCACAAACATGCCCTTAAGTTCAAAAACAATGTATTTGATACAAAAATAATGTGCTGAATGTACAATAAATTTGCCATGATGCAAATCAAACTAAAAGTTATAAACAAATTAAATATTGCAATGCAAAATAAAGCTGACCAAATGCACGAAACCAGTTATCGCAATCCAAAATCAAAGTTCAATATCAAAGCCTACCGGTCTAATCTACAGGAGACTAGGAACAAGAAATCTTAACCGGTAGTGACAATAAAAGGATTTTTGTTTATTGCCTGGTAAATTAAAGTTAAATACAAAGTACCACAAAATAAAATGCAGGAAAACGAAGAAGCTCCTAAAGGCGAAGACGATGTAATTAAGAATTACCAACTGGATATACCAAAATATATCCAGGATCACGAGTAAACTTACGGTCATAATCTTCCCATTTCTTTAAAGCTGCCTGCCACACCTCATGATAATTCATAGTTTTTCCAACTTTTACTGGAAACGTCTTTCCAAAAACTCTTTTGGGCTCCTCTCCCTTTACTCCATTAGCCCGATAGTAATTAAAACTTCGTCCTCATTTGACTCTGAAGATGACTACCGCTAAGGTTGTCGAAACGTCAGTCGACAACAACAAAAACAGTCCTTCTCAGGACTATAATTCAAATGTGTTAAAACACGAGCGAATTACCAGTGGTAAACCATCATGTGGTAAACAGAGTCTCTTCTTACAATATTAACCCCCGGTTAAAATTTCTTGTTCCTAGTCTTCTGTAGATATGACCGGTAGGCTTTGTTATTGAACTTTGATTTTGCATTACGATAACTGGTTTCGTGCATTTGGTCAGTTTTATTTTGCATTGCAATACTCAATTTGTTTATAACTTTTAGTTTGATTTGCATCGTGGCAAATTTGTATTGCTTTCAGCACATTATTTTAGTATCATATACATTGTTTTTGAATTTAAGGGAATGTTTCTGCATTGACAAATTAATTTGTGAATTGCAGATACGGCCACCGTAGCTAACACCTGTGCACGTGAATCACACTATGTGCATGTGAACAAAATGCAAATACTTGTAGCAAACAGCCTGTTTCTCTTGCAGCGTCCGCAATGAGCCTTGGCTTCCATCGCAATGAACCTTGGACTCCATTACCTTAGCACGCGGAATTCTTTGAGTAAAAGTAACAAACTTTCCCAGTACTTTTGTATACGTTAAGAGTGTGTCTCACCTTCTCTTCGTTTCCCTCTGATCAACATATCTCCTATTTACAATTTAACTTACAAATTAACCCGCGGAAGCAATAAAATTATTATTCGCTTTTGCAAAAAACTCCTGTAATGTATCAAAACTCACTACAAACAGTTATCTCGATTAAACGTGAATGAAAAATGACACTTTCTTTAGCATGCCCTGCCCTATTATTTCCATTGGTTGACAGTAATCAAACTTACATTCCGTCACGTAACTGAACTATGACGATTGTTTTATATTTCAACAAAAGAGATTAGTTTAACGTACTGAGTACTGTGGCCATTGCTTTTGCTTTCCTCTTCGCCAATGTAATATCTTTTAATTTCCAAAAATTTTAATTTGTTTTCCTGTTAATACTATCTCCGTTCTCTTTTCTTTCTCTTTTGGTTACCCTCATCCCTAATTATAATTCCTGTCAACTTGTCAAATTCTTACCAATTATACTTACAAATTATATTATTACGACGTCATTACTATTGATGTATCCGTTTGCTACACGTGTATCACATAAACATTAAACAACACCATAACACTCCTACATTCGCAGAAATTGTGATAAAAACGTATTTTAATGGATCCGTATGAAGATGAATGCTACACACGTCTGAAACAATTTACTGCAAGCACACCCCAACAAGATGTGGTTAATCTTTACTCAAAATGGGCTGCCACTTATGAAAAGGTAATGACCGGAACGTTTTGCAAAATATAAGAAAAAATATTTTAACGTGTAAGCACAAAGCTAAGCTTACATTAAAAAGCCTTATGAAACGAAACTTTTGATTATTTTGGTTAGCATGTATTGCATCGAAAAACGACTATCGTACATGGCTGACTCATCGAGCGTTATAAAGAGAAATAGAAAATTTCAGGCTGTATGAAAGACCACGATAAGAGCATCAATGACATTACAGCATTATGTTATAAAGTATTTTGTACCGAGAATTTGTGATAATGTACTTGTCGTAGTCTGCTTTAAGTTTGTCAGTGTGAAGCGCTTCTTTTGTCTATGAGATAAAAAGGCATGTGTATCTTTGGTGAGTGTGTACAATTGTTATATACAAGAAGGATTAAAGACTAACTAGTGAGCAAAGCGTACGAGTTTATTTTCGATCCTTCTTAACGATTAATTTCATGACAAATAGACTACAAACAAACCAGCTATAAGGTAATCTTTGTATTTTCTTACGAAGAAATTCGTTAATATGCGTTAGACACGCATATTAACGAAGACATTCAAATCCTCAAAACAATCACATTAGGTTAGGGCTGAGGTTAGGGTTAGGGTTAGGGTTATATATATATATATATATATAAAGTTTCTCCGGATTTAAAGTGAGTTTTATTTAGCTTTCGACTCGTTGCTTCGAGTCTTCATCAGAATGAAAAATATTTATTTACACGTGCTTTTAGCTTGGAGACGTTTAGAGCGTCTAATTGGAGGAGTGGGTGGATTAATGTGATTGGATGGGGTGAAATGCGTTTCCATGGGTTTTGGTGTATTGTGAATATGATTGGTGTTAATAATATTAGAGTGTAGTGTTTTAGTTTTGGTGTTGTTTGTAGTTTTTATGTCCTTTTCCTTTAGTTGTGAGTATATGATGGGTATGTCGATATGTCTGTTTATTGTGTCGTTGTCTTTACTGTACCAAGCTTCTTTAAATTTGCGTGCGTGTTTAGTCTGTGCGCGTCCGAGTACTTTAGTTTCTGTCCAGTCAAATGTGTGGTTGTTTCCGTGGGTATGTTCTGCCGGTAGTGAGTTTGGATCTCGTCGTTTTATGGCGTTTTTGTGTTCTGTGAGTCTTGTTTCGATTTTCTTAGATGTTTGTCCTATGTATTGCTTTGAACAGTCTTTACATGGTATCATGTAGATCGCGTCAGTTGTATCATGAATTGTTGTTTTGTCTTTATGTTTGGTGAAAAATGATTTGAGTTTTTGTGTAGGTTTGTGGGCGACGTTAATATTAAATGGTCGAAGAAGTCTGCCAGTCTTTTCTGATGTTCCGTTTATGTATGGTAATGTGACAATTTTTACTGTTTCGTCCGGTTTTTTGTTGCTTTTGTCGGTTTGTGTTTTGTTTTGTATTTTGTATATAGTTTTTATCATGAAGTTTCTAGGGTAATTGTTTTTAATAAATGTGGAGTATAAGTAGTTGCGTTCTGTTTTTTTGGCTTCTTCCGTATTACAATGAGTGTTTATCCTGTTAAAAAGTGTTCGAATGCAGTTTCTTTTGTGTTGTGTCGGATGATTGCTGTTGAAATTAAGTATTTGGTATGTGTGGGTGGTTTTGCGGTTTTGCGGTATACTTGTGTGTTTAGTGTACCGTCATCTGTTCTGGTTAGTAGGATGTCGAGGAAGGTAAGTTGTTTGTCGTGTTCTTCGTCTTTAGTAAAGGTAATGTTCTTTGTGGTATGGTTTATGGTGTGTAGGATTTGTTCAGTTTTGTCTTTCTTGACTATGGCAAAGATGTCGTCGACATATCTTTTCCATAGTCTGATGTTTGTGTTGTTTCTGACTGATTGTGTTTCGAGGTGTTGCATGACAGCTTCTGCGAGGAATGTGGATATTGTAGATCCCATTGGTGTGTCTGAAATTTGTCTGTAGTATGTGTTTTGGAAGGGGAATTCAGTGGAGAGGCAAAGGTTGAGTAAGTCTAGGATGTCATTTTTGTCTATTTGTGTTGTAGCTTGCCAAGTTTTGTCGTTTGTGAGTAGTTCGTTTGTAATTTTTTTGGCGATGTCTAGTGGTATGGATGTGAAGAGTGATGTCACGTCGTAGGATATCATGATTTCGTCTGGTCGTAGTTTAATGTGTTCAATACTGACTATACTTATCTTTGAGAAGATTGATCTTCTCCTGTGGAACTATGCCCTTCCATGTAGTAAATAGTTTAGGATTTACAAGGTCTAAAAACTCGAACTGATTAATATCTTGAAATCGTTCACTTAACATGCCTTTAATGGAATCAATAATCTCAAAATAAAGCTATTTGTAATTGTATCTACTATCTGCTCTGGTTGCTGGTGGGCCTACTTTTTCTAGTGCAGTTTGGTAAAACTCGGTGAAAGCTTGATCTGTGCGAAGTGACACAATAAACTGCTTGAAATTGTCAATCTTGTTTATGCCATAGTTAAAATGGGTTTCCCTATTTTGAAGAATGGGATACAAAATTGTGGACTGTTCTAAAATCCTGTAAAAAACACACACTAGAAAACAAAAGAGAAAGCTATCAAGATAATGCAGTAAGCCACTTATTTTACTTAATGACTCATCATCCCACCCAGCTGGTTGTTCAAGTACCCCCTCAAAAATATCTAAAAGTTTTTCATAGTTTTTGTGCAATACATTGATTAATCTAGAGCGATAATACCATCTTGTTTCACCAGGGGCAGGAAACTAAAGGTTGTTAGATGTGAGAAAAGCTTTTCTTTTTGGGGCATTGCTTGTAAATGTGCTGAATGTAGCTATATTAATAAAAACGATTTTAACAGGAGTGTAGCTATATTAATAAAAACGATTTTAAAAACGATTTTAATTGATGAGGCTGACTGGCATAGGACCAGGTTCAATCTATGAGCTGCACAATGAACAAAATGAGCGAAAGGATACTCTTGTCGAACCAATGCTTGAACACCATTCATATGGCCAGACATGACAGAAGCACCATCATATGTTTGTAAAACCAGTTTTTCTTTTATATTAGAATACTCACCAAGTTTATCTTTGACAACTTGTGATATTGCTGTGGCATTTCTGTTCATACTTACATCCACAAATCCTAATTGCCTCTCCATAATTTCACTTGCTTTGTCAAACCGAGCAATAACACTTAGCTGCTCTTTGGTGGAGACATCAGATGCTTCATCAACCTGACTACTCATAAATGTGCAATCATTTATTATCCTTTCTGATTTCATCTTCAATAATTGAATCAAGACAGCTGATAAGACCATTTTGAATTTCTGGGGAGACTCCAGTAAATCTTCTGTCACCAACTATATCAGATTCTGCTAGTCTACTGTGCAGTCGACGCTCAAATACAGAATCAAACTTAGCAAAACATTCGAGCAACTCTCTATAATTACCTTTGTTCAAGCTACCTTCGGACTCATTGTGACCTCTAAATGGCAACTCTTGCTTTGACAAATACAGCACGGCCTCAGTAACAGTTTTTAAAATTTCTCGATTTTGTCTTACCTCCTCATTGTGACGCTGAATCTCATTTCTTCTAGCGAGGAACATAAGACAATCAATTCGTTCACTAGCTCCATACGTTTTCCATGTCTTAAATGCAGTCAAATGCGATTTAGATTTTTCATGCTTCTTAGCATCAGACATAATACTCCGCATATCGTTGTAGCCATTCTTAGTCCACTATGGCGATGTTTTGGGGGAAAACATTAGACATGGTCAACAAAACACTTTCTGCAAGGTTGTACTGCCACACAGCCAGTCCTTCGCCTCATACCAATCTCTCTGAAATGCTCTTCCCTTATTTTGGATAGTTAAATGAGGAGTAGGCCGTTCATGAACGATAACATTCTGTTCGACCGACGATCGAGCAGAGAACGGTTTAGCTAATAAGCTATTTACTAAATCAACATCAGTTGAGCAAATCGCAGTCGCACTTCAAGCCATTGTGTCATACACAAATACAAAATAGCAATTTGAGAGTAAAAACAATGGAAAATTAATACCGACAATGACACGTAATTTGATAATCACTAATCGCTGTACTCGTATTAAAAGGTCGAATAATTACAACCTCCGCCAATTTAAAATAGCGGAGTTCGACTATAAAACAGCAGATTTGAGCATGCGTCAAGTCCCTTAGCCAACCAGAATTCAAAACTTCTTATATAGAATTATATTGTATGTTCCGCCCTCTGAAGATGGGCGGAATACGTGGAGAATCGCGCGAGTATGCAATGTGCGAGAAAAGGCGGTTGCTAGGTTACATAACAAATCTTGAGATTTTGCTGTATTACGATTACGAACCACCTAATAAAAGCGTAAATATGAACGAATAAAACATAATATTACAAATTGTTCTTGAAATAATGTATATCTTATGTCCAAATAGAATATTTATTATTTTTTTGGGAATTTTCTACTCCCGCCGGGCGGGAGTAGCGGGACCGCTAGCTACGCCACTGATGGATACAGAATGTTATAAAGATATTTTGAAAGCTCATACGTAGGTGATCCTGGAAGCGATACGATAGGTCGAAGTGGGTTGTTTTCTTTGTAGATTTTTGGTAGTCCGTAGAATTTGGCGGTGGATGCGTCATTGTGTCGGATTCTTCTGTAGTCGTTTTCGTTTAGTTTCTTTTTGTCTTTTAGTTGTTTCAGTTTCTGGTTGATGCGGTTGATGGTCGTTTTGCTGGGGTCTGTGTGGAGAAGTTCGTAGGTGGTGGTGTCTTGTAGGAGGGCACATTTCACCCCATCCAATCACATTAATCCACCCACTCCTCCAATTAGACGCTCTAAACGTCTCCAAGCTAAAAGCACGTGTAAATAAATATTTTTCATTCTGATGAAGGCTCGAAGCAACGAGTCGAAAGCTCAATAAAACTCACTTTAAATCCGGAGAAACTTTTATTTATTAATATATATATATATGTATTGTGAATCTTGCCCGTCGCCCAGGCAATATTCCTTTTGACTATGTCGAATAGATG